TTTAATCTTGGATCGATTTTGTTTCGTTATCAACTTTTGATTTTCGATAGTTTTATAAAATATAACTGCCGGCACTGTTAGAATTTTTATTCTAAAATTTCGACAAAATAACCGAATATGTTCATCCAATAGACAGTAACATTTGCGGTTAGTAATATTTTTTTTTCCTAGCGGATTTTAAACCGCTTATAACTAATATGGTTCACCGTGAATACAAAACTATACAGCTTCATAAGGTGTTCATCACTCACTTATTACCACTATAAGATCATTAGGCATCCGCTGTTGTGGGAAAATTAAAATATGAATTTGCAATCATTAGCACATGACTTAGATCCTAGTTTGTGTTCAATTCTCATTGACTTTGGCCTAACTAACGTGGATAAATCTCTGGTTATTTAACAGTACAAGGTGGAAATCGTCAATAAAGATTTTTTCACAGTTAGCAATTTGAATATCATCTATTTTATGGCTACTTGACAGTTTCGGTAGAATATTGTAAGATATAAATTTTTTTTAAAAAAACTGCTATTTAACCATTTTTTTCGAGAAATATCTAACAGTGTGAATAAATCTGAGAATAAGTTTTCCGTTTCTGATTTACCGGGGAGAAGAGAGGACAAATTGCAATTTGAGAAGATTACGTTTCCTGAATCATACCAAAAATAACATTTAACTGTGTGTAATGTAAATTGCAAAATGATAAATCGAATTTACTTTTAAGCTATCACTTTTAAGTATGGACCACTTTCATAAAAATTTATTCAAATAATATTGCTAAAGTAAATGCATTTTTCAATAGGAATTTTTAACAAGTTAAAAATATGACTAATCCTGCCGAAACTGTTGAAAAAAAGACTCTTCTTTTATAGACTTTTCTTTTATAGGGGCAGTTGAAAATGTTTTGTAACGTAAAATGGGTTGTGATCAAAATACTTCGGAGAAAATATGCCTTAAACTAATTCTAGTAAATCTAAGTCAAATCTCAGTGAATTATAGCCCAATACTTTCAATTTGGCAGTATTTCCAGTATATTTCGAACATACTATGTTTTCTCCGAATGACTTTATTTTATTATTAAATTATGTTTGATGTTTTAATAATTCAAACACATTTTATACGGTGCACAACATAATTTTTTTTCTTCTCAAAAATAACATTTTCAAATGGTTTAAAGTATATCTTTTGAAGTATATCTCGCTCTAGCTATAATTAAAACTAAATTTGAATTCAATTTTTGTAAGTATCTCCTGTACGCTAATTCAACGTACACGAAAATTAAATTAAGGAAAAGCTCTGATTTTGTTTTTAAACCTTTTGTTTATGGATAAATTTCTATATATTTCTTAATGTTACTCTTTTTCGGTTAGAGTTCATGAGCGAATAAGCAAATTTATAAATAATTAATTACAACAGAATGTATTTTTTGGCGCGTTATTTTCAAGTCTGTTTTATATTTTATTTGAAACATATAAAGTTGTTTTTTGTATGGTTAGAAAAAAGAAAAAAATCCTCCTTTCTGAATTTTTTGTTGCTTTCAGAGATCGTTTTTTAGATTGAAGCGAATATAATTTTTCTATGATTTCTTTAGAAACTTAAGCTAAGCAGCGATAAAAGGGTTCTACTATAACTGTTATGGAAAGCTGTTTTATACACATTACCTACAAAAAACTTTTTTATTTAAATTGCTCATTAAAGCTTGATTATTTTTTAAGAAAACAATAGCTTTTTTTAAAAAAAAAATAGTATCCTACAATGATGAGTTAAACATGATTTTTTTAAACTTTTTATTAAATCCGTTAATAGTTCACTGTACTGTAATTTATTTTTTCTGTTAGGTTTAATAATAAGATATAGAAAAAAATGTGCATCTTTGCACTAAGTACGGTGAAAATATATGCAAATATCGTTTAATAATAAATATATATTATCGTTCTATTATCCTTTTACTGCACATTCAATGGGTAAGACAACAATCATACAATTGCAATGTACTTTAAATGCATGCAGTTGTCCAACTACGAAATAATGCTTAAGATATCGAAATAAATTAAGAAAATTAGTAAACCTCTGTGATTTTTCGCAAGAGTGAAAAGAAACAGTTTTAAGTACCAAGCATAATAATTATTTTTACTATACAACTATAACTCAGCTATTCTAAGTTTTTTAACTGTTTTCTACAGTTCAATAAAGCCCAAATAATGCTATGACACCCAATCAGTTAGGTTACAGATTCGGTTTTATAGACAAAACCTTTTCTTGCCATGGAAACTAAATTCAAATTTCTTCGTGTGACACATTCTGTGTTTTAACACTGAAAAAGGTTGTTATTTATAGAACCAAAAGTGTAGTATCTTGTTGTCAAGACATTGACAGTAGTTTATTTACATAGTTCAGATTTATTCATATTTGTATTCACTACGAAATTTGTATTCACCGCAAAATTTGTATTCACTGCAAAATTTGTATTCACTACAAAATTTGTATTCACTACAAATTTGTATTCACTAAAAATACCAATTACGTGCTTCTTGAATTTTGACAAAAATCACCAAGATGTTGTATGGAGAGAATGTGAAGTAGCAGAGAGATGAAAAAAGAAAATATTCTTTTTGATAAGCATTAAATATTACTACACTGTAAAAATGGATGTTCAAATTTCAGGAAACTTTCGTCGTTCTTAACGAAACCATTTTCTGGCGCATGCTCCGAGCGAAACTTTCTTTAAAGTGACTTAAAGACAAAAGCTACTTCTTCAAAAAACGAATTTTGTGAAAATTGAAGAAAAATTTCGTCATTTTATTTTTATTTAATAAACGAACCAGAGTAGCGCTTTATCATGAGCATCGTACAGGAGGATCAATATCGCCTGTGTATATGCAGAAATGCCAGAAATTTTTTTTCCCCAGTGCATAATTTTTTTTAATATGCAGTCGAAACGGTTGTACATAAGTTGAAAAGAGCACGTAAAAGTGTCATTTAGGCATGTATCCAGTAGGCTAACATAATCAGTAGAGGGTACAAAAATGTTGAGATTTTTTAAAACCTGATTGATAAAAATTGCAAATAAATATAGAAATTTTCATAGTTTTTGCCGAACTTAATACAAACATTTCTTTTGGTTTCTATAATATTTTTGGGATTTTCTGAACACCAGAGAGAAAAAGAAAGTGATGATCATTTAATTCCTTGCAAAGAAAGTTCTGAGTTGAAGCCAATAATCTCCTGGTACGTCAATGGATTTCTTATTCCAGATGTTAAGTGTTTAAAATAATTAATTTATTGAACAGTTCGTATCATTCGGAATTGAGTCAGAAGAAACTATGAATTAACATTTTTAAAAAAAGAAAAAAACTGTGATTGCCTGAAGAAATAATCTTCTGTGCTTACAAAAATGATTGTAATAATAGTTATGCTTATAGAAAGAAAATGGAAGAAAAATAAAAGATCAGAAATTTTACTCGTTACTGATACATTATGATAACCTCATATTGTTTCTAATATCATTTGAAAATATCAACAAGCCTGCCTCATGAAAGCAAGTGAATTTGAGACGGAGGGTGCGTCTCCTGTTTTTCAATGGCTCGATCTATGACCAAGAATACGACTTCAGCCACACATACCTTAATTCCAGCCGGGAAGTTTTGGAAGTCCAGACAGGCAAAAAGTTTGATACACCGTAATTTTTACAGTAATAATTTCCATAAAATCCCTGAATAAATATAATTAAATAAATATTGCTGTAAAATTTATCACCTAATATTTTACGGTAAAAATGGATTTTACGGTAAAATGGATTCCATGGATAATAGCTTTTTATTTTACATTCGTCATGTTTGCTTTTAGTTTTGTATTGCTATCACTTAATATACGGATGAAACAATAGTCCCTGAATCTCTCGAAATTAATTTAAATTCGATTTGATTCCAAGGGATTTCGTGACGATGCATGTCAACAATCGGATATTACATCAGATATTACATATCAAGCATTGATACTCTGAGTCCATGCGATGTATTCCTAAATAGTCAGACAATGATTAGAATGTACAATAATTTAACGCATCGATTATTGTTTTAAAATGGTTTTCTGTTCAATATTAAGTCTTGAAGATGTAATTTGCTAAATTTTGAATCAGTACAATTCAAAATTATTTCAAAAAATATTTCCTTTTTGTTATTAATCAAACAATTGAATTAAAAGACAATGATTAGAATGTAAAATAATTTAATGCATCGATTATTATTTTAAAATGGTTTTTTATTCAATATTAAGTTTTAAAAATATTATTTATTAAAATTTAGAATACGTATAATTAAAATTTACTACAAAAATATTTCTATTCGTTTCCCTTATTGCCATGAATGAAAAACTTAAATTAAAGGTTAGAATAAAAAGATTTGGAGATATTATTTAAATTAACATCAGTACACTGCATTACTTTTACATAACTTTTACAATAGGCTGCAAGTTCTAAAAAAATGAAGGTTCAAAAATTAAGTAAGAAAGATTAATGCGCCTTTTTTTAAAATTTAATCACAAAATTAGTCTTATGTGCTTTACTATTAATACTACAAATCGCATGGCTAATGTCTAACTGTGATGGAGTGACAAATCAATATTAGTGAAAAGAACATCCTTTATTTCTTAACAGCTAAAGCAAAAATATTTTTTTGAAAATATTTAATTTATTTAAGTTTTGAATTATGTTTCTTCTGTCTGTAAATTTATTACGACATTTATGTTAGCAATTTCTTTTAGTGACTGTTTCAACGCTTCGTATTTATTTTATAATTAACATTCAATCATCAATACAATATGTAACATACAAGGTTTGCCTTTTACATAATATACATATATGTGGACCATTTGTTGTCATTGAAACTCAGTATTCATCATTTAACACATACTATTTATCATTTCATAATTATAAATCAGTCTACAATATTTATTAATTAATATACATTATGTACCATTTAATTTTTTTTTTATTATTATAGGTGCAAAATACACAGTTTCCGATGATGAGCAATACATCCGAAACTTAATACTTTCAAATTATGGGAACTACAGGAGTAGGGCGTCTGTTGTCACACCTCATAAGTCACAGATGAAAGACAGAAATGTTAAACTTTACATACAGTGTTCGGTTTGATTTTGTACGCAGTCTTTAGAAAACTAGTACTAACTCTGTATGAGTTTTGCTTGGGGCGAAAACAACATGACAAATGTTTTCCTATTTTTAGCTTCGATTGTTTTTTAATCATGTCTTTTCTTACGTAAAAAAATAATTTTAAATTTTTAAGGAAAAAATCCTTTTATTAGTAAATAAAAAAAATAAAAATATTAAGTTGCTGTTTAATTTGCCATGTCCTAGACTTTAAGAAAATTAATTAGAAAAATTATTTTCTTACTATTTTGAGTCTCATTTTTATTCCTATATTAAATTCTATTTTTCACTTCCGCATCTATGCAAAGGAAGACTGTTAAATTGTTCTACAGTGCTTGAAGAAAACTAATAGGATATTATTTAGCATTTACTGAAACTTCTAATGAGTCATTTTCAAAATTTTTATACAGAAAAAGTATTGATAAATTTTGAGTGTTGAGGAAAAAAAAATTTAAAAAAAATAATAATAATGAAGTGCCGAAAATATTTTTATCATTAGCATACTTTATCAATAGAAACATTGTAATTATATCCTAAGGAATTCAATTGTTTTTGTTTCTCTTTGAAATGCAAGTGCAAAAATAAACCAATAAATAAACTATATATAATTTTATTAAAAATACATTATTAGATCGAGAAAAAATATGATAAAATGAAGAATATGATAAAATGTAACGTTTTACTAGCTCTATTGGACGTTTTAACGTTAACTTTTACTCTACCAATTTAACGTTTACTATACCAAGACACTGGGATATTTTTACTGAAGCGTTTTGGTAGAGATTTTGACAAAATTAACAATAAAAATGATTTTGTAACGAGTGATAACATTTGGTAAATGGAATAAAAAAAATAGTAAACTTTTCTTAATAGCTTAAAGTATCTCATAGAAACCATTTCGTTTGGTTAAATTTCAGTTTTGTATTTTTTACTAAATATGTGGCAATAAACACAAAAATTTCCGGTAAATCTTTATCATATAAAAAGAAAAACTTCGAAATGACTGATTTAAATACAGTCTTTTTGGGTTTTATTAAAAGAAATTGGATTTTTTTAACATAAATGTCATTAACATGCAGTACGGTAACTGCACATGAATTTTTTTTTCATGTAGAGGATTAATTAGGGCTCAGAACAACTCAGATCTTCCTAAACAAATTGTCAATTTATCTAAAAATAGAATTATAAAATTGTTTAGAGAGACCTAAAGTGGGAATAAAAAAAGACTTTTTGAAGGAATATAAAATTTGAAATATAAACACAAGTAAATTCTTTATTTCATACTTTTATAATTCCGTAGTTTTCATAATTTTGTATCGATTTTTTTTAATGATTTCCTTATTCATCTTAGAAATGCCAGAATATCTTTATGTTTAAAGCACAAAAAATAAAATTTTGATTTTCAGTGTGAAAATAGATTTATAAGCATTTATTAAGAGTATATCTTTGCAGTTTTAAAAATTTCACTTACCACAAACAGTGAAGTAAATTTAAAAAAAAGACATTTTTTAATATTTTTTATGATGTTTGAATAGTCAGAAATTCAAAACAATTCATTGTTTATTAAAGAAATTTTACATTTTAACTGCTTTATTTTATATTTCATTTTAGTAATATAACAATTCAGTTGAACTATTAATAAAACAAGCATAACTATAATTTTAAGTAAAAACTGAGTTCTCAACCATTTTTTTTTCAATTAAAAAAGATCTTCGTGAAACAAATGCTTTATTCTAACGTGAATGACTAAAAGGAATCTAAACATTTAATAAGTTCTTTTTTATCACTGAGATATTTTATAAGTGATCTTATTTAATTTCTTCATTTTTATATTTTCAATGATCTACAAAGAAAAACTAAATGAATTTCAATATGAATTGCACTCTCCGCCTCTAATTGATTTAAATTTACACTTTGTTTTAGTTTGATCATTTTTAAGAAATAAATTGTAAAAGGTTTTTTTATAGCTTTTTTTTTAACGAAAAATACATTTTATACTTTTGAATGTTTTGAGCTTAAATGAATGAAAGCAGATTTTTAATCATGAACTATTCAAATATAGCATGATATTTTTCATGCGTTTCATAGGATATTTAAAATATTTAGGGGTATATTGATATGAATTAATATTCTTTAACAGTAATTGAATGATCTAAAAATTAAAATCATTATTTTATGCATGAAAAAAGAGAAACCAGCTATATGCCGTAATTTACAGGTAAATTCGTGTAATTTTTTCCCATTGCTTGAAAAAGGAGGCAATGAAGAATTTAGTTATGAAGAACATTCATTGAAGAACTTCGTAGAAATTTAAAAATGTGGTTCGAGTCTATAGCGGAACACCGAAAACCGTACATTGACATCTCCTTTTGCTTCTTTTTAATTTGCTCTCCAAATCATGGAATATTTTTAGGCAACTGTTATTCGATATAGTAAAAATAGATAAATCAAAGTATTTGTAATAGTAATATTTCTATATGTAACAAAACTTCTAAATCTCAGGTCAAGAACTTATATCAAGTACCTTAATCGATCTTGAAGGATGGTGGCAATATCCAGTTAAGGTTATTTTAGCTAATTGTTGTCCCATTGCATTTAATTTCAAAACTTTTGTTTTGCAGTACTTGCGTAAATCTACAGAGTGTGTAAAATATAATTTTAGTCACACATGTAACGTTACTGGTGATCATAATACCAAAGTGCGTAGCCAGAAACTAATTTTGAACATGACAGTCATATAATTTCCTTAAAAATTATCTGCTAAATTTTTTCTGTAAACTGTAGATAACTACCATTCAGTTATCAGTAAACTGTTATTCAGTATTTTGTTTGTGTAAACCGTTTTTTATTACTTATAAACAAATATAAAGTTTTAAATTCTAACAGTTAGAAATGTTTTGGAAAAAATGGTTAAAGAACAACTCTTTTTATTGTTGTTAGACCACATTCAAACAAAATAGTCAACTAACCATAAATAAGATTGTATTCGAATTGTTAACTGTGAGAAAAAACGTTAACTGCTAACAGCTAATACGGTTACGCAACCAGAATCTTATAGCACCAACCAGGCCCACCTAATGCACTTAGCTCCTCTCAGTTAGGTATATATTACAGCCGAGAGGGTTAATCTGTCAATCTCATGACCGACAGAACTGGGGTTTGATTCCCAGCATTGACAACACAATATTTCCTACATTCCCTTTAACACATAAAGAGTTTCCAGCATCCAGCACTTCCCTATTTGTGACTCCGGACCATCAAAATACCATATACTCATTCAAACATAAATGGCAGCACCATGAAGCTGCTTCTTTTTCAAGGTTTTGAAACTATGCTAGTTGTAAATGGTTAAATGGTTACTGCATAGTTTTTGTGTTCATGCTTTTTTACCATACTAGTTCTAAACGACATTCCATTCCCTTCCACACATAAAGAGTTCCCAGTGTCTTGCGCCTTCCAATTTGTGCACCTGGGCTAATAGAATACTATACTCTCATTTCCGAATAGATGGCAGCACCATAAAGCTGCTGAACTGCCTTCAATGGTCAGTTAAAATTTCATGGTTTTGAAACCATGCTAGTTGTAAAGGGTTACAAAATCATATATATCTAATTAACCGTACGCTTTATGGTTAATTATATGGATAATTATTTTACCATAATTTTAGAATAAAAATTCTAACAGTGTAGATTTTTTGCAGATCGGTGGTAGTTTAAGCATATAAAATTGCTTCAAAATCATATTCATTTGTTTTAAAACAAATTTAAACTTCCAAGATTAATGCAGAGATCAATAATTTTTTACTATCGATTTTAAAGATAAAACACAGAGAACGGCACAAAACAAACAAAATATTTGTTGTATTCTCTAGATCCTTCTCAGTCTTCAAAATTGTTTTTATTTTATTTCCTTTTATAGAAATTGTACTCTATTTCGAAAATCTGTCCGTCTCAAAAGGAATCGTCTTTTACTCTACCGAATAAAATTGTTTTCGAAGTAAATGTAGCGTTGAAAGAGAAGAAAAGATACCTATCAATTGCGACGTCAAATTCACGGAGTTTTAGCGGGTAAGATATCTGCCCATAAAATTGCATTGCATTCACCTATCAAATGTGTATAGAATCTTTTCCAATTGTTGTTATTCTACTTCAGAAATCCAACTTCTTTTAGGGTTTCTTTACTGATGTTGTCAAGATTGTGAATGAAGTGAGATATTTCCTTATGGAATGCTGAATCACTTCGCCTGAGAAAGAAGTTTATATTTAAGATATATCTAGTTATTTACAAAGATCTATTCGGAACTTTTTAAAGATTCGAAATTGTCTGACAAAAGAAGGTTTTATTTATACATCGGATTATAATCTTATGACTGGACGACATTGAAAATCTTTGCAATACGATTGGATAGTCAGTAACTGAATTACCACGGAAACATTATTTGTGATGAAAATTGATCATAACCAGCGAGATCACTAGCTTACGGCAAATATTGCATTTCGCCGTAAACGTTGTAATTGTATTTCACTTACGGCAAACATTGTATTTTTATTTATCCTTTTTATTTGGTTAGCATAAGGAAACAGTCCAATTACTATTTTTAAGGAAAATTATTATTTTTAAAAAAAATAATAATTTTCTTGAAGAAGAATAATTTTTATGATAAATAAAATTCATAATATATATTAATATAATAATTTTCCTTAAGGAAAAGTTTAGTAAAAGTATTAGTATACTTCCTTAAAGCCAGCCAGATGTCCGAGCGGTTAGCGTGCCTGACTGCGATGCCATAGGCTGCAGGTTCGAATCCCGCTCTGGGCATGGATGTTTCTCTCTCTCTCTCTCTTTGTGCAGTCCTCTGTTGTGTGTATGATGTGTGAATGTGGCCCACCCTATAAACGGGTTTGTGGCAGTGTGGCGTGGGCAATGTTGCTCGCCTCCGTGACTTTGGTTCACAGGTGCCCACTGGGTAACGCGAAATGAGCAACAATTCTGGCAAAGTATAGGCAAAAGATTCAAATTCAGTGCCTGCCATTGGAAAAAAAAATATATTTCCTTAAAAATTAAGTAAAGGCATGAAAAAAACTTCGCAAAAAAAATCTAATTTTCTTAGTTTTTATTTACAGGTACGGTAAAGGTGCCTTTTTTATTCTAGTCTTGTCCAGGTTCTCAAAAACAACACTTTGTTTGTGTTAAAAACATAGTAATCAGGCCAACTTTCACTTTTAATGTCTTAGAAAAAGTATATAAAAGAGACACCGGTTTCCTATCAGCGACAGGGGATTATATATATTTTTTTTGATTCTCTAATTAGTAGCAAAAATATATTTCGGTAATCTTTTGTTACAAAAAGAAGTCTAATAAACACTTAAAAATTCTCTTAGATTGTCAGAAATAGATTTGTATCAAGATATAAAAGTCAAAATCGTAGTTCGATTTTTTTTCATTTATGCTTACAATTTAATCAATAAGTGATTGTGTAAATTAAAACATGCTGAATGCTAAATAACTGTAAATCAGTGCATATTTGAAATTTATTGCTTGAGAGAGAGCAGTGTTTGGAAGATTTTACATTAATAGACAC